ATTTCGATGCATACATTTAGGTACATTAATTTAATATAATACATTTCGATGCATTTATTTCGGTACTATTTCAACCGAATTTTACACCATCGGTCTGAGTAATCGAGACTGTTAAATGTACAGAGTTTTAGATCGTCGCATGAGTAAAATGTCAACATGATTTCCAATTATTTATATTATTATGATTATGATAATCATACTAATTATCTTTTGAATAATTGGAATTATCTTAATATTTTATAATTTTGTGGTGTTCAAATGCAATCACATTTCGGATGCCGAGGTTATCTTACTAGGCCTAAGATCACGCATGCCAGCTTGTTGTTATTATCCTTTGGATAAAGGATTGGAATGAAATAGATGAGATGCAAATAATATCTCTGATTTGGATAATAGGAAGCCAAGACATATTCAAATTAATTGGGGATATTCGGCATCTGGTAGTAGTGTAGCTAATATGGGTTAATTTCATGCAATTAATCCAGGGACAAAGGTGAAATTGTGATAATATGTGATGTGATGTGATGTGGATGATTATATCTAGGCAAAAGAGGTAGGCTAGGTTGTGATGATGACACAAGAAACCTAGGTGGGCTAGGTTTTTTTTGTTTTTGCATGGAGATGGAAGTAAGAGTTTCTGTTGGAGGTTTTTTAATGAGATCAGAAGCCTAGATGGGCTAGGTTTCTGAAGTGGTGTGGTAAAACCTAGATAGGCTTTATTTTAGAAGTCACGAAATTTGAAGGACACAGATCAGTTTCAGTTCCGCGAAATAGAATTGCAATTGGACTTACAAAATAATCTGGCCGCGCCACACAACATTTGCCTATAAATACAAGACTCGGTGCAACAGAAGAAAAACCTCCAATTCAACATATAAATCGCCATGCGCAAACCTTTCAAATATCTTGAGATTTTTTTATTTTCTTTTTTCACCAACACACCTTCAGTTTGGATAAACAAAGGCAACTGGCGAGCATCTTCAGTTTGGATAAACAGCACTGTTGCCGTAGAATCAGCCGACCGAGGAGCACCTTCAGTTTGGATAAACAGCACTGCGTCGAGGCCGACTGGTTACCTATCCAAGTCTCGGTCGAGAAGGGTTTTCGAATCCTTATTGGCAGAGGTCATCTCATTAGCCTTCTCGGAGAAGTGAGGTGTTACAAGTTATTACATTCAGCATATTGAAAGCCGAATTTGATATTGAACTTTGCAGAACTAACAGCCTTGTCTCTGGGCTCTAGAACCCGAAGGTCGAGACGTGTTCCTTCCTCAGCTGCAGTAGCAAGATCAAGAAGTCAACAACGCGCTCTGTGACATCCCACATCGCCCAGGGGATTGATCCTTAAATGTATATTCTCATCCCTACCTAGCACGAGGCCTTTTGGGAGCTCACTGGCTTCGGGTTCCGTAGGAACTCAGAAGTTAAGCGAGAAGGGGGCTTGAGCAATCCCATGATGGGTGACCCACTGGGAAGTTGCTCGTGAGTTCCCAAAAACAAAACCGTGAGGGAATGGTAAGCCCACAGCGGACAATATCGTGCTACGGTGGTGGAGCGGGCTCGGGAAATGATCCGCCCCGGGCAGGGATGTGACACGCTTAACGCAACATTAACAAATTTTACTCCTCAACCAACTAGTTGGCACGCCCTTCATACAATTGAAGGACGTAGTTAGCTTATTAATTACTCGGCATATGCGCCACGTAGGCTTTGTAGTTTTTAGGGTCAACAGGTACATACATTTCTGTACTAACATTTAAATACATTAGTTCAATATAATACATTTCGATAATAACATTTAGGTACATTAATTGAGTCTTTCAAGTTTGAAGAATGTTAAATAAAATTAATAAATTAAAAAACTCTTTTTTGGTCAAAAAATAAATTAAAATTTGTATATTAATGAATTTAAATATTTAACAGGAGATTAAATAAAATGCACATTAATTATTTTGAATTAAGGACACGTTAAGGGATTATAATCAATATGTAATCTAACACCAAATTTATTTTACATTTTAATTTTCTTAAATAAATATGGGATTTATTTTCTATTGCTTTAATTTGAAAGCCGATAAAAATATCATGCTGCCAATTTGAAGTATTCAGCCAGTTCATAATCAGGCCTACTCAAAATGATACATTTCTTGGTGCAATCGTAAATTGTCACGACATATTACATAACCGGTATGCCGTTTTTATTTGAGTTGTACATGATCACTTTTTTTTTTTTTCATAATTTTTTTGAGCGTAGGAGTGGTACAAGGTTGGGTAGCAATCATAATGGAGTGATGCCGGGAAGCATCCCATGGTATACTATGATGGTCCTCCACAAGAAAATCGGCATCCTAAATCATGTAGATGAGACACCATGGCCGTGTTCCACACCCACGCCGTGGCCGGAAGCCTAGGAGGCATTCTTGCCGGCTTCTTTGCCCACCCGAAGCTCTGCCGTATATTCTTTTTAACCGAAAATTGGCAACACAACATTGGCCTTGCCTATGGAATCCACAGTGACCAAGTCAGTGCAGGGTTTAAGCAAATGGGAATCCAATTCCTAGGACTAGGGTTTGTGGTTGCTGTCAATGTGATTATCACTAGCATCATTTGCTTGTTCTTGAGGCAATTCATTCCGCTCAGGCTCAACGGCGAGCAGTTGCAGCTCGGTGATGACGCCATGCACGGAGAGGAGGCCTATGCAGTGTGGGGAGATGGAGAGAAGTATGATGGCTCCAAGCATAACTCAGTTTATGGAATGGAAGAGTTTCCTGTGAAGGCGCCTAAAGCTGAGCCATGAAGTTGATATGCATTTTTTTTTAAATTTTAATTAATTAATTTATTTTTAATTTTGGTTGTGTGTTTCTTACAAGAAACGTAATATACTCCTAATCTAATGTAATAAGAACTGAAAAATATGGACAAACTAGTTTGTTATTGTGATTGGAAGTTGACATGAAAAGCTCTACTTTCTTTCTTTTTTTTTTTTTTTGAGAAATGATAAGGAGACTTTTTCAAAGAGCGAGACTCTCTATAGATCATCTGTCACCTCATGTTTATGACACAATATTTTATAATATTGATATGAGAATTGACGTTAAACTGTGAGCTGGTAAAGAGTCAATGAAGAGTTCTACTTTTAAGAGAGTTCCCTTAATATTTTCTTTAAAAGCATTTAGCTCAAAAATCTTGGCCCTCAAAACCCTTTTTTGCACCCAAGTGATACTAGAGAGATCATTTTTTTCAAATTATATTTGGAGAATATAATAATGTGACGGTTGATGGTTAGATTTTTTTTGTTCAAACTACGAAATGGAATCTAACTGTTAACTGCACTGTATTTTATTAAAAAATATTATGAACAAAGTCCTCCTAGCATTTTCCGTTGCACACTCGAGCTTTTGGTAAATCCAATCTACATCTTGTAATTTTAGTTATTTTTAAAACACGTGGCATGTATACAAGTAGAAACATAGGAATCAGGATTTACTCCTGATCCTCTTTTTGAGAATGCTGAGAATCCGTAAATCATGTTAATTCATAGTACATTGTACAATCAGTTTTCGTTAGGTACTGTTTGTGTTTAATTTAAAATTAAAAAATTTTAAATAAAAACTAACTACATAATATACGATAAATAAACATAATTCATGAATCTTTGAGATTCTCGATCCACATTTGAAACATAGAAGATGCCTACTCATTACATGAACAAGCAGAAAGAGACAGACACCCAATGGCAAGTGGGAGATAGCCAACACAAAGAAAAAGCACTTTTTAATAAAGCCAGAGCCGCATCTTAGCTGCTGTTGTTGTGCCTCTTGAAACACATTATCTAGTTTAAAACAGGGATTAAATACAAATGAAGAATAATCAACAGAAACACTCTTTCCACGCGTCTTCAAACTTGTTCATTATTTATGGTACGAAATGAATGAAGAAAACGGCTTATCTTCCAAACTCCATTATTCCGTGGAAGTTAGGTCATGCGGGTTTACTTATTTACATTTGTGTCGTGTTCGTGTTTATTCATGAGGTAAGTAGTATGCATCACACTACAATAAATAAGGGGCGGTTGGAAATAGGGACTAACATGGTCCTATGACCATTTGAATCTGAAAATATACATGTAAAGGTTTTTCGATGATCCTTCGAATATTGCTACGAGTCTCTTTTGTGCTTACTAATTTTTAATGTAATACATGCTAAGTATATCTCGACAGGTACGTCGACATCACTCTAAATTCTCTCTATATCACATTATCACTCATCATATTGTTTCAGTATATATCGATATCTGTGACATATGCACAACAAACCCACGAATAAACTGATTATTTTTTTACTCACTTCGTGCTCTGCTCCTTTTTAAAAAACTTGTATTTAACATTAAGATCCCCGAGGTTCAAATCCTGGATCTGCCACTGCAATAAATAATAACATAATAATACAAATCCCGTACTATTCGTATGAAATACTTTTTTTTTTCTAGGGAAGTAATGCTTGTGCATAATTCATTTTTCTTTTTCATATATAAATATTATCAGAGTTTTAACATAATATTAGTTGAACAATATTAATGATGTACACATCGAATTTCGCTTATATCACAAATGAGTTACTCGGTAACATACATTATTCATTTAAAATATTGTTACGACAATACATAATTAATTTAAAATACCGTTATGATGATACTGAGTAATTTGAAATACCTTTACTGTTGTTTTATCTCCCAAAGGACAAACTAGGAAGTGGGAAAGCAAAATAAAGCCAAAAAGTCTTGATATTTATTTTTCAGTTACTCAATCACATACATTATTCATTTGAAATATTGTTACGACAATACGTAATTAATTTAAAAAACCGTTATGATAATACGTATGTAATTTAAAATACCGTTACGATTGATTTATCTCCCAAAGGACAAGCTAGGAAGTGGGAAAGCAAAATGAAGCCAAGGAGTCTTGATATTTATTTTTTGTTTTTTCTTTTCCGTTTTTGGTGTAAGCTTGTTTCTTGTAAATATTAAGTCGATAGAGATAAAGAAAAGTCGAACTTGTACGAAAATTCTCTTTTTCTTCACCCAACTCTCCGAAACACCACCCACCAGATCTGTGTGCTGATATATTACGTGGGTTTGTAATGTGTGCGTGAGCTGGCGGAGAAGAATGGCGTCCGATACGGCGTCGTCTGTGGACGAACAGGCGCAGCAGCTGGTAGCTCTGGTTGGTTCAGTCGGAGGAGGAGGAGGAGGCTCCACTGATAACAGAGGAAGGCATCGGATTCTCGCCGAACTCAGCGGCCTCGAGCAAGAACTCAAATTCTTGGAGGTTTCTTCTTTTTCATTTTCCCACTTGCTTGTTTTCTCTGAATGCTGTTTGTTTCCCGGGAAAATTCTTGTAAAACATTTCCCACTTCTTATTTTTGCCCTTTTGATGTTGCAATTCTAGTTTTGTGTTAAAAAAGTTTGCAGCTTTGGGTGTTAAAGTCAAGAAAGTAACTTTCTTTACAGAAAAAGGGAAAGGTGAAAGAAAATGGGATGAGGGTTATTTTTGCCAAGACATGTTTTCTTGGCATTGGTTATATGAGGAAGAAAAGTTTTCTAGGTTTTGGAAAATGGGTTTTTACTGCATATTGTGATTGGGGCTTTGGTGTTGAAGAATGTAAGAACTGGAACGGGTTGCTTCTCCGTCTCTCTAAAATCTTGACATTTGAGTGGTCAAAACATTGAGAAGTTCCACTTTTGATGGAAATGTGGGATTTAGGGATGCAATTTCTCTGACTGTTTTTTGGTATTAATTTAGGGAAATTGTTAATGGAGAGGTGATGATTTTCTACAACTGGTGAGGTTAGCAAATTGGCTGCAGACTTGGTCAACAACACATTTGACTGGAAAACTGAAAAATGTAGCTTAATTCTTAAGTAGATTTATCATCATGGTAAAGAGAAAGTTGCTCTCTTTCATATGGGTGGATTAAGAGTTGTTTTAGGGGAAAGTCACACTGCATGAACTCACTAGATATAACTCGTTGTAGATCAACGTGTTGAATGGTAATGCAGTCGAAATGATCATTGTTACCCGAACAGACAATCATTTAGCCCTTGACGTGGGATGTGTTGAACCACCACTTTTTGGCTCTGTGAAAATATATTTGATGATTAGATTGCGAAAAACACACTGCAAGCAGCGGTTGTTCTATGTTTTGAGTATTTACATTCCTTGGTGTGCGTTTTGTGGTATCATGTCACATCATCAGCCCTTATGCTTAATTTAATCAAGGTATGAAAGGAACATCATCATAGCTCAACTTTAGAAAATGCTAACCACATTTCTCGTATCTAGGCTTCCAAATTAACCTGATGTCCAGTTTTATTTTCTTAGAACTAGGAGCAAAGTTGCTTGAATTGTGTATGCATATGAATTGTCTGCTCTGCTTGTTTTATTTCTCTTGTGGAATTTCTTATGTTCCATATTCCTTGCATTGTTCTAGGTTTTGTTGTAACAATTGAGCATTTCTCCATAGATTTCTATATACATAGCTTATCCGAAACAGTGCTAATTTGGCATCGATATATAAGCAGAAAACAGTCTTTCTGGTCCATGGACCATAGCTACACCCCTTTAGACAGATTAAGTGCTCTCTGTGATTAATTACTTGAATAAACTGTGTATTTCACGGCTTTAATTTAACAGATACACGTTTTACATTTATTCTGCACATGAGGTAGATGAGTTTTTTTCGTACTTGTGTTTAATGTTGTCTATATATAGTCTTTTAATTCTCCTTCTTTTAGTTAATGCAAACCTTGTAACTTTGATGCACATTCAAACTTGTGTCGATTGACATTATATTATCTGCATTTTTATCATATTTAAAGTACTGCAGAAGGTCATAGTTGTGTGAGTATTTGTAGTCAGTCAATCTCATTTGGATGTTACTTTATTTCTTTGCATATCCAGGAGGAGTTGGAAGAGCTCGAAAGAACCGAAAATGTTTCAACCATATGTTCAGAGTAAGTATGAGTACCATATATATAGTATCCTGTCCCAAGTCTTAAGTTCCTAACATGAGAAATCTGATAAACTCGATCGAAAGTAGGAGCCATATATAAAGTATCCGGTCCCAAGTCGTAAGTTCCTAACATGATAAATCTGATAAACTCGATCAAAAGTGATGAGCAATGCTCTGTTTTTGTTAATATTCCATAGGTTGCTGCCCTACATCGAAGGCAGGCCGGATCCTCTACTCCCAGTGTTCGTTCCATAACCAATCTCTTCACTTGGCAATAATACAATTGGCTTGCTACTATCTCTAAATTTCTAATGCTCCATCTTGATTTATTTTGGCTGCAGAACAAATGGACCCGTAAATCTGGTATGGGATCGATGGTTTGAAGGGCCGCAGGATTCACAAAGTTGCAGCTGCTGGATACTCTGATGATTTGAATCTGATGCAATCTAACATTTGTTGCCATCGTTTACAGGACAGGCTATAGCTAGCACCATCGTTAACCATATTGAATGTATAATTGACCATTGACTTCATATGAAGTTTGTACATTAAATTCACCAGTTTCGCTTCTTCAGTGATCTCTTAAACTTTTTTTTCTTTTTCTTTTTTTGTCGCTTTTTTCTAATATAGTAGGTTAAAATATCGCTTTGTCAAAAAAAAAAGAAAAAAAAAAAACGATGAGGATTCGGCTTCTCCTTTGATCTTGTCTAGGCTTTTAATCCCAACCGTCGTCCATGTTCATCCTACGATCAGAATTTGGGCTTGTTTCTTGGGCCTTTCTTAGCACAAAATTTTCACACCATTTCGATGAGTAAGCCCACGTTAACTCTTGATACATAGATTTCCATCAAATTAGAACTGCCAAATCATCATCAGGAGCAAGGGAGTTGGCCTACATGGATGGGAATTTGTTTGGGTGGTGCTATCCACGGAAATTGGATTCTCTCTGAATTTTACTGTTTGAAGTCTAAGTCCACAAAATTTGGGTTCTTGATATGTGTGAAAGAGAGATCGGAGTTGTTGTGTGAGGTGAGTCAGCAGAATGAGTTAACGTGGGCTGTCAGACTCAATTTGATTGGTCCGGATTGTTTGGTGCTCTTTTATCTTCCACACTCGTCTTAATTTCCGATAATTGGATCGAATGAACTGAAGAAAATCAAATAACAAAAATAAACAAGGTGTGTGGATAGCGGTAGCACTAGCCATTTGGAAAACAAATTCTTTTTTATTTCTTATCAACTTACTGATGTATTATGATTATATATACAGCTTAATATTAAGGAGACGGTTTCCTTGTGTGATAGTGATACAATATTCTTAGCACAAAGAAACAAGGAGTCCATAAGCCAAGGGGGTTTTAACTTGAGGGACAAGTAATCTAAAGAAACCAAAAAATGTACACACAGATCATATCTTCGACTTCGAGCGGTCGACTTTACATGTTGGCTGTAAATTAAACCCCATAAAACCACCACCAAAATGTATATTGAAGATCTTCGTCATCATCTCTTGGTTGAAATTCTTTGTCGACTTCCATATAAAATTGTTATTCAGTGCAAGTGCGTGTCCAAGCAACGGTTCTGTCATCTCCGATCCATCTTTTATTCACCGCTTTGTACGTCAACAAGGACATACCGATTCAGATACGATATTATTAGGTATCAGCACACAGGTCCTTAGGGATGTATTATTATATACCGTGAGGTCGATTTCGGACGAGTTCAAAACGCGCGAGATTTCTTTCCCTTGGGGGCAATGTTCTCTAAGTTTATTCCCTTGGATGCAACGTGTTGTAGCGACGCATAACGATTTAATCTTGTGCTGTCGAGTCCGAAGCTTTGAGCGTGATTACTGTATCTGCAATCCGTACACCAAGTAGTCGATAAAGCTTCCTCCTCCCCCACGAGTTCATGACTTAACAGTACGCGCGGGGCTCATATGCGACAATCCTTACTATAACCCTACTGAAGATGGCTGCACTACGGTCAAATTTAATACGGAGTACAGGTACAGGGTTGTGCGAATCCCTCGAAAATGTGACGACCTAAGCTCATTCACAGTTGAGATGTTCTCGTCTGAGACTGGTGTATGGAGAGAGATAGTTATATTATGCTCCCCAGGCTCTAAGTTCGTTTGCGTCCATCACCCGTGTATTGCTTTAAATGGAATGTTGTATTGGACCACAATGGCAGGCTTTTCGGGTTTGATCCATTCAACAACATGAACAGCACAATCCGTGCTACTGCTAAATTTGTTGACGACAACGAATTATGTCGTTTCATTGAATTTGGTGATTCCCCTTACATTATGGACGCGTTATGTTCTTATACTCTAGGGGTGTGTCGAGGGCGTCTGCGGCTGTTCCTTCAAGATGAGTCCGGCGAAAATTTGTTTATTTGGGGAGTGGAAAGGAGTAGAAAAACAGCAGGGCGATATTAATGGAGTCAAACTGATGGAGTGGTGTTTGATAAAAAGGATTTCCTGGGAAGAAATGGTTCTAAAAGATAATCCAGCGATTGAGAAATGGCTAAAGGAAGAGAAGTGGTCTTGGACTATGATGCTGGTTGGTGATCCAAACGATGGGGATGTTTTATATCTGCTTCGTAAGCATGATATTTTACTATGCAACGTTCGTACAAAAACTTGGCTATGGAGAACGGAACCGCAAAGTCCCAATAATTACAGATCGTTTCAATTTTCACATCGATGTTGGCCGACACCAATTCCTAGACTACATTATAGTTGATTTATTAACAAGTTTTTTGGATGATATTTGTTTTCTAAGTTATCTTAGTAGTTGTTATCTCATCACAATTGAAGAACAAGTAAGATATAGCTTGTTGAATTATGATGGACTTATTTCATGTTTTTAAGTTTGCTTTGTTGCTTGTTTTTCTATATATTTATGTGTGTGTGTGTGTGGAGTTGGATAAATAGCAGACGATTTTTTGCTTGTCGTTCAATCACTATTAGCAGAATCTCAATTTATATATACCATAAACATGTTCGGATAGGGTCTACGGTGGTTTATGACGAATGACCCCAGAAGTTGGAGCCGCACCGTCCATGCACATTGCCGGCCTTGCGATGGAGGCTGCCATTGGACCCTCCAACCACCATTGCAACTGCACTTTCAACCGTGCATAGGATAGCCATTTGCTTCCTGAAATTCATGCGGCAAACCTCGATTCAAGGTAGCAGCTAGCAGCATCGGTTTTGCTCTGTTAAAACACAAAGTACATCGAGATAACCATAAATTGAAGTATCATTTATTGGCCCTGCTGGATAATCTGATGATCTGAATCATCTGATGCAATCTAACATCTGTTACCATGGTTGCAGAACAGGGTTTAAATTACTTCAATGTTGCACATGCTATGGGCTGATAGCACCATTGTTGACCGCATTGAATGTGGAATTGACCGTTGATTAACTTCATATGAAGTTTTCGTACATTCAATTCATTTTGCACATATTCCTCTTAATTTTTTTTATCATTAGATTGAATAAATCAAATAGAACAAATGGACATGATTAAATAGGAGTGTGTAAGAGGCTAAAAATATTGTGTTTATCATGCATATTCGAGCTAGGTCAGTTATTAGGGTGGGATATCTGCCCTTCTGCCCTTAAGTTTGAGTCTCTTTTTTCTTTACATTAGAGTAGATTAGAATATTGTTTTGTCTAAAATAAAATTGACGAGGATTTGGCTTCTGTCCAATTGTTGCCTGAGCTTTTGGTCACAACCGCTCATGTTCATTCTACCATCAAAATTCGTTTTTGTTCTTGGGCCTTTCTCGGTCCTTGTAAGCGTTTTATTGTAAGGAACGTCAAATTGAACTCATCCCAATTAATCAAAGCCTGAAATGTTGAATAAGAAGAGTATCCAAGATAACTCTAATGATCCCAAGAAGAAGAAAATAGAGCACACTCTTAAAGAAAGCTCACAAAACAAACTAATTAGCAAAGCTTTTCTTATTTAGCTCTAGGCTTTGTTTTTCCTTGGATGATATACAATGCTTGGGGACTTGGGTATTTATAGCAAACCAAATGAAAGCTATATCACACACTTAATTAAACTAAGATTATTTACTACCACACAAAACCCATTAATTGCACCTAATTTTTTCCACTCAACCATACCTAACATTGCCTAACTTTGCAATTGTAAGCAATTACATCATCAAACTAGATATGGACTTGGACTTTAGATTGGGTTGTGGATTACTTATGGTTTTGGGCTGACATTGATTCTCAACACTCCCCCTCAATGTCAGCTTTCATTCTTTGCACTGTGCTGAGCAGACAGCGAAAATTTTCGAGCTTGCCTGTACTTAAACTTTTTGTGAACAAGTCCGCAACTTGATCATTCATCTTGACCTGTCTCATCTCAATCTCTTCTTGTAGAACCTTTTCTCTGATAAAGTGGTAGTGCACTTCCACATGTTTAGTTCTTACATGAAAGACTGGATTTTCCGCCAAACGAATGGCCGATTGGTTATCACAGTACAATGGTACTGGATAATCTACTGGTTAATGTAGATCACTCATCAACTGTACCAGCCATGCATTCTCTTGAGCTGCCATTGCTGCTGCTCTATACTCTGCTTCTGTGGTTGACAAAGATACCGTTGGTTGTCTCTTGCTACACCAAGAGATGGTTCAAGAACCAAGCTTAAACACATACCCAGTTGTTGATCTCCTGGTGTCATGATCTCCCGCATAGTCAGCATCACAGTAACCAACTAACTTGCAGTCTTCACCTTTCTTGTACAAAAGACCATAGTCAATTGTACTCTTCACATATCTCAGTATTCGTCGAACTGCTTCCAAATGAGGCTTCTTTGGATTTTGCATGTACCGACTCATCACACCAACTGCATAAGAAATGTCAGGTCGAGTCAAGGTTAAGTAGATCAGACTACCTACCAATTGTCGATACATTGTCGCATCTTTCAAATCTTTTCCTTCATGTGCACACATTTTGGCGTTTGGTTCCATCGGTGTCAAAATTGGCTTGCATTCGAGCATTCCAAACTTCTTAAATAAATCTTTGGAATATTTTTGCTGACAGAGAAATATTCCTTCTTGTGTGCGATCAATCTCTAGACCAAGGAAGTGCTTGAGTTGGCCAAGTTCCTTCATCTGGAAACGGATTGATAAATTCTCCTTCGTCCGAAGAATTTCTGCCTCATCATCACCGGTTATGATCAAGTCATCCACATACACTAGCACGATAGCTAGCTTTCCTTCATTGGCTTTGACAAACAAGCTGGAACCTGCAGGTGTTACTGAATAACCACTTTGTTTTAGAAACTCTGCAATCTTACCGTACCACGCTCTTGGTGCTTGTTTCAAACCGTAGAGTGATTTTCTTAACTTGCACACGTACTCAGGATGAGCTTCGCTTTTAAAGCCCATTGGCTGCATCATGTAGATCTCCCGATCTAACTCTCCATGCAAGAAAGCATTCTTCACATCCATTTGGTATAGATTCCAATCTTTGTTAGCTGCAAGTGCAAGTAGGACTCGTACTGTTGTAAGTTTTGCCACTGGACTAAACGTTTCATCACA